CGAGAGAGAATAATGCTTGAAATCGATCGGGCGTATTTAAAACAGGTTGAACAGGCGTTCAAATCAAGGCACAATGCTGGATTTAAACTCCTCAGCGCCTCGATCCACTTCAGTTGCTCCGCTTTCGACACCTCTAACCCTTTCTAAACTCGACATTACACCGCCTCCCGCTACTTTCCCTAGACTAATTGTTAACACATTCATTGAAACACCGAAAGTTTAACCTCCTCTCTCCCTCCCTCCCTTCCTCCCCTATTTTCTTATCCCAAATTGGAATAATATTCCAAGAGAGGGAAGAAGGAAACACAGAAAACAAAATTCATTCGATAATTGCTTTCTGTTTGATATTATATTTGAGAAACTTGAAGATTGTGAAGAGATATGAACTGGAATTCTCTTTAATTGATATATTTTCTCCCTGCAAAAAGGAGATATTCCTCGATTGAATTCTGATCTCAAGAAATCAGATCCGTGAACTATTAAACTAGTAATTTGATACTAGATGCATCCAAAAAGAAACTAGGTTATGTTTATTAAAGAAATTGCATTATATTGCATCTAACCTAAATTTGACGTCATTCTCAATTTCACTGTTTTCAAATTCTGATCAGATATGTCAAATAATCGGTAAGAAGTTATTCCGTGGATAAAAATAAGTAAAAAAAAATTATTTAACGTTTTTTTGAATTGAAAAAATTCTTCTACACAAAATTCTTCTTTTAATTATTCGTATAATATATATATACATATTTTCATTATATTTATTATAAACGTGTACAGTCGAGAATTAATGAAATTCACTTTACTGTGACCTAACCTAAAATCTCTCCGACTCTGTTTATACCGTGTGCGCAAAAAGCAAAGTTATGAAGGTTAGGTTAATTTATTAGATTAGTTTCGCGCCGAAGTCGAAATTTCGATATGAAATTTTACGACTTTATGGAGACGGAAATGACAGCCGTGATATCGGATACACAAGCACACGGATCGATGATAACGACGTAATTAACCCTTTCCTGACGCCAACTTTGGTCATCATCTGTGAAACGCTCTTTTCAGCTATATCAATGTCAAACATGGTCGTCAATTTTGATCATCTAAATTAAACTATCAACGAACAAACTAGATAACTAAAAATAACCTGGATCTAATAATTCTTATAATAAATTAAAAAAATAAAATTTATAGTTATGATCATAATTAAAATCTTTAATTCAGAACTATCTATATTTAATTCCATAATTGAGAAATGTCTTGCATTTGAAAATCATTGATAACTATAACTTATAGAAAAATGAACTATTGTTCTTAGAAAACCTATTATTCTGATTATAAAACATTTTAAATATAACAAACCACAAAAATTAATAAATTAAACAAATTTTAAGAATGCAAGAAACATGAAATAATCAAAGAGAGTCTCAATCATAAAGAATCATTTTAAAAGCAGATAAGTAATTAATATTATTTTTCTATTGAAATTACATTATAAAAAAATTGATTTTAAATTGATTTTAAGCTTCTGTGCAACAGGACATCTATATGCACTTATTTTGTAATTAGAAGAATTTATTTACAATAATACAGTACAAGAATACACAAAATATCCCCAACATATAATCCCCAATCACTTTCACATAAAATGATTCGATTTTGCATAAAAATCCGCAGTCTAAGGGGG